AAAGGTTGCGAATGCCAAATAAAATGAAATGTGGAGTATTTTTGAAAAATATATTTTATGATTTGTTAAATACCCTTAAAAGTGTCTTTTAAGGAAACAAATAAATAATTAACCTTCTCTGATTATTTTTATATTTAATTTTAAAAATGGTTTGCATTTAAATTTGGCATACAAACTTTATAAAGTGGTTCCATAATTTCTTTAACACAATACACCTTGGATTGTATATTCATTTCTATAGGTGTGTAATATTTATCATCAGGAGTCATGCCTTTCCATTTTTCAAAAAAAAAAAAAATTGATATTAGTGTCTATGTGCTTTCATTACCATACATATGAATGTATATATTTTTATACTTATTACAAGGTACAATAAAACTTTAAGGCTGTTTCATATACACTTCTTTTTGAGCGATCGATCCATATCATGGATCATAGTCCATAGCAACCGACCATGAACAATATGTTTACCACTCATGATGGCTCGGCCTTAACTCTAATGACTTGCATCCTTAAGTATCAATGATATTATGTTCGTTCATTTTTGGTAACATTATGTTCGCACCCTTTCGGTGATGTTATATTCACACCTTTTTGATAACGTTACATTCTCACCATTTTGGTGATGTTACATTCGCACCCTTTCGGTGACGTTCCATTTGCACCCTTTCGGTGACGTTACATTCACACCTTTTCGATCCTGAACCACTCTCACCCTTTCGGTGCCGAACCGTTCGCACCTTTTCGATCCTGAACCACTCGCACCCTTTCGGTGCCGAACCGTTCGCACCCTTTCGGTGTCCAATCGTTCGCACCCTTTCGGTGCCAAACCGTTCACACCCTTTTAGTGCTGAACCGTTCGCACCCTTTCGGTGTCGAACCGTTCGCACCCTTTCGGTGCCGAACCGTTCGCACCCTTTCGGTGCCGAACCGTTCGCACCCTTTTGGTGCCGAACCGTTCGTACCCTTTCGGTGCCGAACCGTTCGCACCCTTTCGGTCCCAAACCGTTCGCACCCTTTCGATCTCGAACCATTCGCACCATTTCGGGCCCGAACCGTTCGCACCCTTTCGGTCCCGAACCGTTCGCACCCTTTCGGTCCCGATACGTTCGCACCCTTTCGGTCCGAACACGTTCGCACCCTTTCGGTCCCGACACGTTCGCACCCTTTTGGTCCCGACACGTTCGCACCCTTTTGGTCCCGACACGTTCGCACCCTTTCGGTACCGACACGTTCGCACTCTTTCGGTCCCGATACATTCGCACCCTTTCGGTCCTGCCACGTTCGCACCATTTCGGTTTCGATACATTCGCACCTCTTGGGTCACGACACGTTCGTACCTCTTGGTTCATGAAACATTTGTACCTCTTGGGTTACGACACATTCGTACCTCTTGGGTCACGACATGTTCGTACCTCTTGAATCACGATACGTTCATACCTCTTCGGTCACGACACATATAAATATTATTTTCTAAAAAGTTAATATTAATATTTAAACTTATGAAAAAGTAAGACAAATATGATTGTGGTTATTAAATGAAATATATGCCTTTTCAATGAAGAGTTGTCAAATATTTGATGACATCATCAATCATATGAAAAGGTTTTTTTTGGTTCATTAGATCTTAAAATCAAGTTAATTATGACCATTGGATTGAATTTTTTTTTTCCTATAAAAAATGTTGATGTCACTTTCAGTTTGCTATTATATATAGATTATTGATTGAAAAGAAAGCTTCTACGTTTTGTTTCTTTGTTACAAAATTTATAAATGGTAATAATATTGAGAACAATTAATAAGACATCTATGCGTTACATTTATATTGTTAATTCATAGTCACTATGTGAACAAAACTGGAGATGAAATGCTGGAAGTTCCAGCTTATGAACAACATACCTAAGTGTATATCATCTTCTTCTTTAGCTTCATCTTTGGTGTTTATTCAAGCACACTAAGAAACACTGTTTCTGGTTATTAAACATTCACCTTTACATAAAGCAAATAGAGATCATACTTCTTATAATCCATTTAGGTTTTTATTCAAGCACACTAAAAACAGGGAGGCAACACAGCTATCTCATAAGATGAAATAGGAACTTTATATAGAACACTACTTTATATCCCAAGCATAAATGACCTTCATCGGCTCACCGTTTTTTGATAAGTAAATACCATCATCTTGTGCTTCCCATATGTATAACAGGCCACATTGACGAAACGTACCTTCTACATATGCATCAAACTCTTTATGATATTCAAGATTAGCCCCCTTCCACAAGTTACATTCGAATCTTGTAAAAAAAACGACATCATCGTGAAAACTAAAATTGTATGCAACTTCTCGAAATCTCAGAAAATGCTCGCCTAGATCATCATCGTTGGATTTGCAATGGACTTTGAGAATACTACGGCTAAGTGCAAGGTTGTTTTGAAAAGCTACAGTGTTTTTAACACACGTCTCTTCATTCGACTCAACATGCAAAGAAAATATAAGATACAGAAAAATAAATACAAGCTTCATTTTTCTTTTAGTTAA